AGAATTCCAGTAGCCATCAGACAGGTGACACAGAGTAGCACTAGCCCGTCACAAACTAGTCCTATCTTGAGCAAGGATCATACCATGCCTGGAAATAGAAGACGACGTAAAAGGCTTCAGCACAAGGCAGCCACAGGCAGTTCGTCACAATCCGTAGCACCTAATTCATGCAAGGAATGCTGTATTACGACACCCGATGGCTGCAGTGTTTGCACCAAAGTTGTTTCGGTAGTCGATGAGGCATTTGCATGCAACCTATGTCAACGATGGGCGCATTGTCACTGCGACACCAAAGTCCCCCGACAATACTATAAGTTGATGAAGAGACAACCATGCAAGTGGTTCTGGTACATCTGTCCAGAGTGCAGGAAAATGCCCGCACTCCGCACAGAAAGCCTGAAGGAGATGCTCTCCGCCACGCAAAAGCTACCAGCACCCTCGAATAAAGTAGGGTTAACACCAAAGATAACACAGAGAGACCTGGAAACAGACCTAGAGCTCCAGCTGCCGGCACGCCACCTCGCGTGGGGACCATATTAGGTCAAGTCTCCATACCTCCTACCCGGCCCCAGGGGACGTCAAGCGTATGGCCAAAGACATCGACCGCTAAAGCCTCTACGAAACCCATTCCAAACACCTACACACCGTGACTGAGAAACAACCAGTGGAATTACTCAAACCCATTGGGAAGTCAAGCGTGCCACCCACAACGAACCCAGGTCACAGGAGGACCAACTCGATCATTTTGTTCAACGTCGATGTATCGACAGACTCATTGTTGGTCGAGAGGGAACGGTTTGACAGCCGAATGTGGACCGACTACTGTCAGATGCTAGGACTCCCTCCCCTCCCTGCAACTTTATGTCGCCTTTCTCGAGGAAGCCGTGCACCCCGAGATAAGCCACCCCCTTTACGTGTGTCCCTAAATACTACCAAAGAGGCTGAAGACACACTCCTCCTCTCGCGACAACCGGACGTTGTTAATGCCTGTAAAATTCGGGCCAGGCCTGACAAGCCATGGTCAATAAGAGAGGAGGAGAGAAAGTCAGCGGTTGGAAATCCCAACAGAAACAACACTATAGTTGTACATGGGATTCCAGAATTGCCAAGTGACCGCTCGGTCAAAGATCGGTACTTTCATGACGTCCAACAATGGCAATGGCTCTCAACCAAAGTTGGTCTCAACAGTATACCGGCCAACAGCGTCAGTAGACTGCCAAGGCCAGCGCACCTGAAGACCATACCCAATCCCAGACTACTCGCCGTCCAGTTCGACTCATATGCCTCCCTCACAGACGTTCTACAGGCATGGTATAATGCGAAGGATCGCATGGGTGGCTCAATACGTATATGTGAAAGTAAGCCTAGACCCACAAGGCAAGAGGAGAGACGACAACCACCAAGACCCTGGAGTCAGTGGTCGTCACACAGGCGCTGACCAGTGAGTTAGATACATCAAGTAAAGAAGCTACCACTGCCACAGCCCCCACCCAAGTTAATAACAAAACACCAAAAAACGGAACAATGCCAGTCCTATGAGGACTGGCGAGGGTAGACCCAACCACATAAGCTGTCATCCTGCGAAAATACACAACCAGACCTCCCCCTCACCAGGCACACTCTAATATGTATGTACAGCAACGTTAGGGGGCTAAGAGGGAAGGTAGCAGAAATGAGGACGCTGCGTGCACATCAGCACTCCGACATCATATTCATCACCGAATCCTGGCTCTCGCCAGACATCTCCGACGAAGAGATGCATGTTACTGGCATGGAACTCTTCCGCAGGGACAGGGAACATAGAGCAGGAGGAGGAGTGGCTATCTACGTAAACTCTTGTTTAAAGGCAAGGATGGTTAGCGATACGGCCTTAACCCAGCTCCCAGAGTCCCTATGGTGCTACTTCACTCTCCACAGTACCAAATATTTGCTCGGAGTCATATATCGGTCCCCCACCTGCTCCCCTACACATAAGGAAATGATCATCAAGGCTATCTTAACGACTTCCTCTGCAAATTACGATTCCGTAGTCATTGCCGGCGACTTCAACACCCCGTCCATCCTCTTCGAGACGGAAGGGAGACGCATCAGATCCTTCAATCAGAAGCTGAAGGATGCAATTAAGACTGCTGGCCTCTCAGAGAAAGTGGGTGATGCTACACGCTGGGGACCTAACGGAAACGCATCGCGCCTTGACTACGTTCTGACGAACGATGAACTTCTCATTGAGGATGTTTGCATCCAACCTCCCCTTGGCCTCAGTGACCACGCTGTAATCACCTTCTCCATGATAACTAGGGAGGCTCTGCAACTGGAGACGCCCAACACCTTCCCTTGCTACAGCAAGGCCAACTATGAGACCATGAGGGACTACCTCATGAATGCATCATGGCCAGTGGACTGGACTCATCTCACAATAGATGAACACTGGTTGGAGGTGAAGAAAATAATCACTGGGGCCATCAGTCACAGTGTACCAGAAGTAACACACAGACAATCAATGAGAACCTCATGGTTAAAGCGTGGGACAGAGAGGCTTATCCGGAGCAAGAAGCAGGCTTGGTTCAAGTGGCTTACATCACGCAGGGAGTCTGACTTCTTGAACTATAAAAGGATTCGCAATCTCTGTAACATTAGAGTGCGTAACGACAGATTTTCCTACCAAACAAACTTGGCAGCGAGGTTACAAAGCAACCCCAAAAACCTGTACCGCTTCATGTCAAGAAGAAAGTCGACCAGTAAGGGAGTGAATCTTGTCACAGGCCATGACGGGAGTGTGCTAAGCAGTCTAGAGATTGCCGAGCTTTTGAGCTCACACTTCCAAGCCCAACTCAGCACTGACACAAGATCCACACCGACTCGCCACGACACCGACCAGGTCGCAAATAACGAATACCTCTGTCACGTCTCTATTACAGAGAAAAAGGTGTTCGAGAAGCTATCTAGGCTACGTCCGGGCAAGTCCCCTGGCTGCGATAATCTGAAACCAGTGGTTCTGAAAAACTGCGCCGAGGTGCTTACCAAACCACTTCGCAACCTCTTTGAGCACTCAATAGACTCGTGCAAACTCCCTAAAGAATGGAAGAGTGCCATCTTGTCACCCATCTTCAAGGGAGGAGACAGAAAAAACCCTGGCAGCTACAGGCCGATTGCCCTACTCCCTATTGTGTCGAAAGTGTTGGAAAGCCTGGTAGCTGACACCATCTGGGAATTCCTCAATAGAGAAAACACTGTCCACACTGCTCAGCACGGCTTTCGTAGTGGTCGCTCATGTGCCACCAACTTACTAACTGCCTGGGACGACTGGACACAAAGCTGGGATAATAGAAAACCTGTACATGCTGTATTTCTCGACCTAGCCAAAGCATTTGACAGTGTCCCACCCACAGTACTGCTTCACAAGATCATGTCAGCTGGTATAAGTGGACCCCTACTCTCTTGGTTCAAGGAGTACCTGGAAGGGAGGCAGTTCTGCACTAAAGTGAACAGAATAAGGTCGGAGTGGAGACCGTCGACGTCAGGAGTATCCCAAGGAGCAATCCTAGGACCGCTTCTGTTCCTCCTCTTTGTCAACGATCTGCCAGACAAAATATCCTCACCCATCCTCCTCTTCGCTGACGACATAAAAATTTGGAGGGTGGTAAACGAAGAAGCCGACTGTGCAGCACTACAAAAGGACTTGCAGCAACTCGAGCTCTGGTCGTCGGAAAATGGTCTGAGCTTCAACTGGAAAAGTGCAAAGTAATGCACATCAGTAAAAATGAGGCAAGTACGACCGACTTCCAGTACATGTTGAGCAACCGTGCTATCACCAGAGTGTCCATGGAGAAAGATTTGGGGCTCAACTTCTCCGACACCTTGGACACCAGCTCCAACTACAAAGGTATGACAACCAGAGCGAACGCCATTCTACACTTTCTGCGTAGACAGCTTGGCGCCCTCACTCCCGAACTCTTCCTCACCATTTTCAAATCCTACGTGCGGCCGCACCTAGAGGTCTTCAATACGGTGGCTCCTCCAACACTCAAGAGAGACTCTAATCTCCTTGAAAGAATACAAAGAACTGCAACAAAATCAGTTGTGGGGCTAAGGGGAAAGACGTATCCTGAAAGACTTAAACACCTCAACCTATTTACCTTGGGTTATCGCAGGAAAAGGGGTGACCTCATTATGGCATACAAGATCGCCCATCAGGCAGACCATGCAAACAAATCAATTTTGCCTGCAACTGAACGATCTTCACGAGGAAACCCCTTTAAGATAGCACACCAGAGAGCCAACACCACACTCAGGTCCAAATTTTTCTCCCTGAGAGTATGTGCTTTATGGAATGCCTTACCGCGACACATCGTTATAGCTCCTTCAATCGACTCTTTCAAGAGGCGATTAGACAGTTATGTCACCTCGCATGGACTACCACGGACGTACTCAGGTAGTCACCAACCTCAGTACCCCCAACTCCCTCCTAACTACCACTCACTATCTCTCTCCTTAATACACCCACATTACCTACTAATTCTTCTGTAGGAACCAAACCCACGCGACCATTCGGGCAATTCCCAAATACTTTTCTTTCGTTCTCATTTCTCTTTTCACCCCTTCTTTTATTCTCCTTCCCTTTCCTCTTCCCTACATTATTATTACTATTATTTTTATTTTTATTTATTTATTTATTTATTTTTTTACTCTTCCTTATTTCTCTCTTCATTCCTTTACCACTACCTTAATATTCTCTTTCAGGTACCTACACAGACAGGAGTCACGGTTGTTCTCTAAACTTCCCAGCAGCCCGTAGCTCCCTAATCACTCTACAAATTACAACCTACTAACCCACAAAACATCCACCTCACCGAAGCTAAAAGCAAGAAAGCAGAGGGGATTTCCTCGTCCACTGCAGGAGTGAACCGAACAACTGGAACCAAGCCCTAAGAACTAGACGCGAGAGATCAAAAACTACTAGTTTTCTACGCTCGCACTATCAATATTGGATATTGGACAGCATTCTGATTGGTTTCTAAGTTGTAAGGCGCTTCTTCAATTTTGCCTGTAGGATACCTGCAATCCCTTCTGGCCTTCGACCATAAAGATAACAGGTCAGTTGACTTTTTTTTTATTCCCGACGGTATTTTTCTCCATGGATATGCAAGTTTTCTTGAGGTGATTTAGCCGAAACAGTCTACCCCATAAGTTTTGGTAGTGGTCTTTTTCCCACACTCATTTCAGTCTTGAATAATCTGGAACGGGGTTCAGACACCTCCGGAGGATTTAATCGTAATGTAGACCTGAAAAAGCTAACGCAAATGCTGGGATGAATTTCATATTTATCCGTCGTAAGATGAAGCTAGGTGTAGCCGTCTGGGAATCTACGAAAAGTTTGAGTCGTCATATCGCTTGCGTGCACTTTCAAGTGTTACCTCTTATCGAAGGAGCGACTAAATTTAGTAATCCAAATTGGGCTTTGTATACCTTCACAGAGTCCTCTGAAGGCTTTCTGAAATGACTGGAAATTGAGATATTTTGACTACATTTTCTATATAACAAGTTGCCGTTTTCATACTATGGTTTATGATTGTCATCCTTTTATGCGAGACTACAAGGCGAAGATAATCCACCCAGTGGTTTTTTGTACGGTGAGGCTGAATCATTGTATTTTTGCTGGAACTGACTGCAGATCCCATCGTTGATACTATTTCGTCAAGACCAGCTATAAGCGTAACTGCATCCACGTTGCAAGTCACTTTTCAGATTTTTAGTTGACCAGTATCAAAATGCAACCTGACACTACTGCATGGTGTTCTAAGTTGTCGCGCATCGCACCAACATACATGACGCCAAGATGAAAAAACTGGTAAGGAAAAACACCCAAGAATCACAGGAAGTTATTGAGAGGGAAGAGATTAGTTAGTTAGACAACAGAATGTGATATGGTGACCAGTACAAAAGTAGTGTGCAGCTGTATCTGCACCGCCAAAGTCGATATTCAACCAGATCAGTGTGAAAGAGGATCTAAACACTTCCCTAACTCATTCACACGGCACAGGAGTAAACCTATAGTAGGATTTTGAAGAACCACTATTCTTTGATTTCGTCACGTAATATCCCTTTTATCTTTATAGTGCCTCCTGTAATGTAAGCGATACTTTCTTGCATATCATAAAAGTCCAGTGTTGGTGCAATTAAGTGGTATGAGACATTGTCAAAAGCTTTACTTAAGTTACTAAATGCAACACCCGTAAGCCTTTATTATCCTTAACTATCCTCCATCTTCTCTTTTAAGATTCATCGGGCAAGAGTAACCGGCTCAAAATTCATGTTGACGCTATGTTCAAAAATTATGTGCTTATATTTACCCCATTAGTCGATCACAGTCATATCGATAACTCCGATTGTACTAATAAGACTAATATATGGTGATTAGTTACCAGTTGTCTGTCAAGTCGCTTGAATATGCGACTAATTTTGGCTCTCTTCCAGTTTCTAGGTAACCGTGACTGAGATATACTAAATGGTGTTAATCTATTCGTTAATAACATTGGTCGGTGATGACAGTTACTTAGCTTAGCCCATTAGGACGAGTTGACTTTCTAGTCTTAAGCTTAAGCGGATAGCCTGAAGTTTCTGTTGTAAGCAGAACATATACCATTGTGGATGCATCAGCAGCGACAGTACTTGCCTACAATGACGAGCTCTTGGTAGCTTCTGATATACCATGTAGGTACATTGTTGCAATGGGATGCGCAGAGGTCTCTAAGTTTCGTGCTGACAGTCCACCAAGCAAGCACGAAAGTCTGGAGGGGAGAAAAGCATTAACTGACGACCCAGTAGGCCGGAAGAATGTACTTTTAGTCATAAAAGACAACTGACGGTAAATAGTTTAAAACAAAGAAATAAAGGAGTCTGAAAATCAAAACTGGACAAGTTGAGTATCAAACGCCTAACGCCGTGCCTTTTACGTCTGCCCGAAAATCTAGCTTTTACCAAACACCATTCAGCTAGACCAAAAGTCTTTTGGAAGCATGTTTTTTGTACTGCTTCAAGGTACACCTAACTTCTGTCTTACCTGCATATTGTTAGTGTGTTAAATCACTTTCTGTAGCCTTTTCTTGATACTCTTAGCAGGCAAATTCTTTTCGGTAGTTCTATGGAGGTTTCACGAAGATTGGCTATTAGCTTCAGGCAACTGTGCTTCACTCAAAACGGCTTAAAGTCGTCACGGTTTTAGGTACTTTGATCTTTGTTTCTTAAAGGGTAAGATGAGAAAAACTGGAGTACTGCTGAATTGAATGATCTCTCATATATGTCATTAACAAACAGCACTTTACTGGTCGACAAGAATAATTTCCAGCTGTGGAATGTGTTCACTCACCCATCTAGTAAGTGAAATAATCCATGTTTCTGTGGATGAGCATTATCATCAGAACACCAGTAATATTTTCAGTGGCAGTTTTCTCCCATTGTTGATCAGAAAGATCTGAAAGTAGGAACAAAACTCCACCCTGAAACTTTAAAAACTTCTTGTGACCAGTCTTGCATAGAAAAATGTTTTTCAGCCTATATGCTTACACAAATCCACTAGTATCTGTACACCATCAGGTCCCTCTAAAAACGGAGTATATTTCGGTGTGTAAAGTCAGGAGGTTTCGGTCATCTACATGACCAGCAGCATTCGATTATTAGTGGTCACTCCCAACCCTATTAAACCTATTAATACACAGATTGATCATGTACCTTGCAATCTAGTATTTTCTTTTCCTTATTGTCATCGTCTGTTGGTGAGTTGTGTCTGTGACTTCACTAACATTATTAAACACTTGGTCCCCCCGAATGTCCTGGTATGACTGAAGATAGGATAACCCAACTTATCCTTTCAAAGTAGTCTCATACGGCCACATGTTGATAGCATATTCAGGTAATTCCTACTTCACAAACATGATAAGTGGTGCGACTGTTTCCAGGAAAGTGAGGGAACAAAAGTGAATGTCCGGTGCTCATAGTAATAAGGCTTTATCTAGAGGAGAAAAACACTGATTTTAAACCAATGTTCTATGTCTCAGGGATCCAGAAGGGACAAACGGTATACAAATCTTATTTGGTGATGCACAACCACGAGGATGAAGCACTTTTCATTGCTGCACTACCTTGTAGATCAGTTAAAGTCTTGAGGGGTGGACTTCTTGGACAACCACTTCTGTCTGGCTGGCGGAGAGGTATCACATCACACACAAATAAGAAAATAACATTGAGAATGAAGGCTGCAACGCTTTGCTCAGACTTTCCTGCAAGCACCGAAGTCTGTACTACAAAGATGGACTCAACCATTTTGTCATTTCAGGATCGATATTTTTGCATCCAAACTATGCTGTTTCTTCGTTATTGTTTTCAAATGTATATTTCTTCGCATTCATGTTTTAATTAGCTGCCTGTTCCTGATTAAAATTCTGGTCCCTTTGCACAATCCCGAGTGGCCAAACAGTTTTTCTCCCACAAAACTGTCCACCGGTGCAGCATCTGACTCAACTATTCAGAGACCACGTGCACCTTCAACGTTCGAGTCTTGATGCGGATAGAAAAATATGCAAGTTTGGCTAAGACTGGAAAGTCTCGCTACTGATGTATGCTGGGTCTTGGAGGTTCCTAAAGCTTAAGAAATTCGCTGTTTTACTTCATTGGAACATTACAAATATATTTCCTTGCCATTAATTACCCATGGTGTATTCAATATTACCACTTCTTCTAAAGCACGTAATTGAACTCCGGTCATGATTTATTGTGGGCTATCTTCTCACATTTTAATGATCATCAAACTCGTCGTCCTAAACAGGTCGATGTACGCAAATTTGTTGCTCCCAGCTTTGCAACTAGATGCCAAACCGAACTAGATTCAGTGTTAGTTGTCGAAACTCTAGAAAATATAAATGAACGTTGGTTGCATCTGCAAGACATTATGAGAATTGTGAACAACTGCTTGTGACTTGGACGAACATCTGCAGTAAGTGCTGGACGTATTCCAGCAGACTGAGCATGATAGTATCCTTTTGTTCTTCATCTGACTAACCATTTATTATTTATGTAAAGATCATGAGGCCTAGTGGTGAGAACACGCAAGGGAAAGCATTAGGAGCACCTGACAATGATCATAACGTGTTAAAACTCACCCAAGCCACTGGGAACAATAAACCTGGTGAGACAGCCTGCGAAGTATATGGTACACTGATCCACAACCCCTGTAGATGCCTGAAAGGCTGGTTGGAGCAATTCAACTGCCATTCAAGTGGCTTTCTGCTCGAGTTACACTGACTTCAGTGTCTGGTGCTCCGTAGTCAGTTTTGACTCGTCGAACGGGCCACAAGTTCGAACCTTGCTTCACATACCGAGGTGTAGGAGACCAGGTAGTATCATTGGCCCTAACCCAATAGGTATGGCTCACTGCCTACTTCACGGATGTGCACGTGGTCGCTGAGTACATTCCGATTTTTCGATAATCATCTAGTACTGACTCACTCAAAGAAGCAAAGGTTTATCAGGAACTCAGTGTACGAAAGCGGCCAAGTGCACCTAGTTCAGACAACTTACCACCGGTTCCTTCTTAACATAGAGGTGAAACTGTAGTTAGTGGTCTAACATTGTTTGTGACATTGAGGATTTAATGCTTCCCCGCTCTACAATTAGATTATTGTTATGGCCATCTTTAAAAAGGGTCCATGTAACTTGTGTGATAATCACAAGTGTCAGATAGCTATCAGTAGCGTCTGAAATAGCTGGCATCATTCCACATAGACTGCAAAACTCCCGAAAAAGTGATCAGTAAGGAGTGGACTGTTTGGTTCAGATCATGGATGGATTAGTCGTGTTCGTCGTTCAACAGATACTCGGACACCCTCACATGTATTTTGGTCAAAGGATCGCTATATTTCTCAGTGTTTAATTCATTAGAGTTGTACCCTAGGATTCTCTGTTAGAGAGCAGTGTCCCTGCGAAGTTTGTTATCACCTTAAAGACCACATGCACAAACAACTGTTACATCAATTACACACAACTGCTTCTCGTTGTTTCAAGCCAACAGTGCAGTTAGACAGGGCTATGTGATTTAAATATACCTCCTTGACTTTGCTGTTGATGTCATTCTCAAGACAGACCTGAAGGTACTTGTTGGTAGTGTAGTTCGTTACCACGTGAAAAACGTTCCCACCATAGGTGTGCGGATGATATCGTTTGACTGTGAGATAATACGTAGGGTAATTAGATCTCAGCTAATTACCAGTGTCCGTCAGTATGATATGTGCTTTCACTATCGAAGTGTGAATTACTTTCATAAGATTAGCGGGAGTTAATCCCAAAACCCACCCTTTTTGGTGAGCTGCCGGCAGTAGTTAAAGCCTTTTTGTACCTGGATAGTTGTTTGAATGCAAGCAGAGATGTAACTGATGAGAGTTGCAACCGTTTATCGAAAGCTGGAAGGATATGTACCAATCTGGATCTCCTTTTCCGTTGTCGTGTTGTCAGCCTATCTTTTAAAAGCTAACTGTGGAACTTGTAGGTGCGGATATTTCTGTTCGATGGCTCTAAAACCTAGCATGAGGATGTCGGATGACTTTGCATTTACAGCCGTTCCTATCTCTGTGCGATTGTTCGCATTAAGTGGAACCATGTAAATTATTTTGAGATGAGTCTGTTTTTGTTTGACTGCTATCTTAGACCGTCATCGGCTTCAGTTTCTTGGATGTGTTAGTAATTCTACACCAGCAGTTTCCATATTGTTCTCTGCTTGCTTCTCTTAGGACATTGGATGGGTGGTCATTGTGTGATGTGAAACTATAAGGTAAATGATAGCTGTCTCGTTGACATCTGGATAGAATCTGAGAGGGCAAAACTCCGTGGCTTGAACTGACAAAAATGGATCAATTAAAGCCAGTGGCGTAGCTTTCTTGTTTCTGTCATCGACAAAATTAGTGAATGCATCCTTTAAATGTATTTTCGAAACTACTTGTTTAATAACCTGTCCATACTTTGATTCTGAACCCTTTTCGTCTCCTTTTCACATCGGTTTTATTTCTTTTTAGTGTCGTTGTTCTATTTTGTATGGTGTGTCTCATTGCCCATGTTGTACTGTTTTAGATTTAAAAAAACATTGGGGAAACAAGTCGTTAAAAGCTTTATGTAGTAATATTCGTGTGGAGGAAAGAACTACATTCATTTACTACTTTTGTTTCAAACCTACAACAAAATTATTTAGAGAGGTCTGATTCTGACACTTCTTTTATTTTGCGATTGATGAAATACCAAAAACAACTCTGAAGTGTGTATCCCAGTGATAAAAAACTGTTACCAAGGCATAAACTCTTGTATTTTGAGTATGGGGACGTCATTTTAAATTGCCATTTTATTTACACCACTGAAAGTTTGGACTGATAAATTGACGATCAGCATGTGTATGTTTTATTCTCTACGCTGTCATGTCTCAATGTAGTTTTACCAAATACATGTTAGTTTGTGCCACATTTCATCCTTAACGGCAAGTCATGGTAGTCTCGATGTTTGTTGTTGTTTCCTGGTTACTCATCACTGATACCGAAACGGAAAAAAGGATGAAACAAACGAGGGTGTTGACTACGAAAAAGCGAGTATACAGACCTTCATCAACAACTGTTCACGTATATCAAAAGCATACGCACCCAGCCAGTGCTTGAAGTGGATAATATTCAGAGAAATCAAGTTGTGTAGGCTCAAATCGTAGGCTTTCCGGAGGCTCTTGTGTAGTAAATATTTCAATACATAATTTAAAGATGTGTTGGAAGTCAGTCTGTTTTAGTCTCATTTCAATCCTAGTTTTTCAGATTACGTCTGTAGAAATGTTTCAGATATAGTCATCCCTGTATCTGTTGCCGGATGGTCCGGCAACAAGTTCTACTACTTCTTACTTTGGTTGAAAGTTAAAAATGGTAGGGAAGATATGTAGCTGAAGATGATAATCGTTTGATGTTCTCTAAACTTCGGGGTTTATTTGTCGACGTTTCATCTCCAGACTAGGCGACTTCATCAGTATTTACTTTGTTGATTCGTTCTTTCCTTATAAAAAGGGCAGTATGTGAAACTACATACAAATAAAGCTGTAACCTACACCTGTGTAAGGGATTGGTGCTAAAGTTTAACTGCAAAAATTCTTGTGGGATTAGTCAGATTCTAGCCACTAATTCTCTATTCAGATGTCGAGTTCCTGAATCCATGGACGACGCTTCTTCAGTGTGGTCGCACAATAAGTCTAAAAGACGTGATCGATTCGAGTTGAGAGCGTTAACCCACCATTGTTTTAAAGGACTGGTTATATCCAGTAAATACACTAAGTAAGTAACATTGAGGATCCGCAACAAGTTTTTGTAGAATGCAGATAGTCGTGAGTAAAGCTGTTCATCACTGACTTAGGTAGCCTAGTCACGTCTTACATACAGCAATTTAGTGTCTTCCACATTTTGTAATATTTACTGACCTTAAAACTGTTCTGGAAGCACTAATTAGTGGTCAGTTGATAACATTACTGTAGAACGAACGGCAACACCTGCTGGTGAATTTTCAGTGTCGAGGACAGTGGCAGTTATTCTGCAGTTTACTTTTATTTCCTACTTGAATAATAATTTACCGAAGGTTTAATGAGAGATTTCTATAAGTACCCTATTAACTGTTGCCTTCTTTCTTGCCATGATTGTAATACTCTGCTTGTCTTATGTTTGCATCAGTGGATAATCGTTAAGTGCCTGTAGCACTTATGTTAGCTGGGGTAGTAAACGATATCTTGGTGCAAGTATGGAGCTTTTATTCACCACTTTGTCACTTGTGTCGCCTTCAGTTAAGGTGTAATGTTTGAATAAGTATGTTGTACATAGGAAATAAAATAATTTTACAATCTATTGCGACTAATGCCTACCCTGAAGTTAAAGTAGGGTGAAATAAGTCTCAGAAAGATTACGTTAAGACATTATTAGAGCATAAAGTTATTTAACTGGTGTTGGATGCTGTGTGAGGAAATAAAGGCTCTAACTTACTAGATGTTATGCATCGATAATTTAAAATCTTGTTTATCATTGCTCTGAATCATGAACATTTCAGTCTTGTGGAACGATAGCTCTTTGATTTAAGTGTTTCAGTCTCCAGCAGTGTGTTCTTAGTGTAAATCTGAAATTTCAGCAACTAGTCGGTATAACTAACCCACACGTACTAGTCTGGGTATCGCTTAGTACGCACATACATAATTCCTAAGTTGCACATATTTTTAACCATTACCGGATGAAGTCTGTTGGTCTGAGCCTTGTGGGGAGATGTAGACTGCCTGGTTGGGGTCCTCGAGACGAAAGGAATCAGTGGTTGAGGCATGGCTGAACATCGGTCACAGTGGCTCAGATGTATTCACTCCTTGACATCTAGAGCTTAAATATTCACAGATTGTTTATTCTCTCACAACTTTGTCTACTTTGGTATTACTTTTTTCGATCCACCTGTTCTTTTTGAAGGGTGGTAACTTGAGCCGATGGACTTGTATACAAGGTTCTACGTTGATTTTGTCAGTAAGCCATTACGGCATGCATTTGTTCTCGACTGGTTGGCCAGTGTACTCTTCTAATCTTGATATTATGACCAACAAGTCACAGGTTACGTCTGTTTGCAGTGTATTAGGTCTTACAAACAGGTTTTATAAATTAGACGTTTTGTTGTATTCACTTGTGTTGGAATTGTACGAAGGGATTTGGTAATTAGTTTGTACGTTACAAATAGATTAACTTTTATATGTCTGCATATTTTACCTTGACATAACTTGCTAGATGTCACAGAACTCAATATGGTAATGTGGTAAGTATTACATAGAACTGAAAGTTTTAGCAAGTTTTTTGTTTCATTTTGTTGGCTGAGTCAGATATTACATGGATGTACACCCATTCATTAGCTTTGCTATTATTCGCATGCCATGTTGTCACTCACAAAAGGTTTTGTTCAAAATAGGTTTGCTGTCGTGTTTTTTTTTATTTGAGCGGGATTGTTTTGTATCTAATTTTAGACTGCACCTAGCTAATGGCTCAACAACATTCACAGGTTGTGCCAGATAATGTGCTGTTACAATTGTATACGTAAGTACCTTTCCACCATTATTCGTGTATAGGCGCTTTCTTCTGAATCTTCCAGAAGAGTTAACAAAGGAATGCGCAAAACACTTTGTAAGGATATTTTTTGAAGTTGAACGAGCTCATTGGTTCTATGTTGATTATTGCATTGAAAATCCATCAGTGGGTGGCGTCGATATGTTTGGACTTACCAAACAATGTAAATCTGTTTTCACCATAATTCATGACATCAGTATTTGAAAAATTCCCATCTATTGTACCTAAGGGTATAAACTGGCAGGAAAAATTTATGGAATGGAAGAAATACCGTGGGACCACAGCTACCGGGAGTGCAATAATCATTGATGAATATTATAAAATGGTAAGAATGTTTAATACTGATTTTTCTTTAGATCCTTTTAGTCCAAGGATTTTATGGCAATCGATGGAGCCTACCTGGTGGTAAGATAAATCAAGATGAATCGCTTGTTGATTGTGCTTCCCGAGAAGTAGGTTGTCGCATACACTTTTTCTCATTTATGTAATAGGTTGTGGAAGAAACAGGTTTGGACTTAGCTAACCGTATATCACCATCCTTGTATATTGATCGTTATATTGGTGGTACTCTGAGACGGGCATTCATTGTTGAAGGACTTCCAAGAACGTCTCGTTTAAAACCTGGCACGAAAAATGAGATTGAAGCTATAACCTGGTTTGAAATTGCGGACTTGCCAACGTGTATTCAAGACACTGCAACGATTGGAAAACTAAATTCCAAAGCAAACAACTTCTATCTAGTGATTCCGTTCGTTCGGTAAGTTTATAAGGTTGATCTTAATTGTTTCTCGCATTTTGCTGTCATACATTCACTAGTTCGATTTGTCTAGTTCATTCAATGGCAATGATTACTTCCCTTATAGAACTCCTGGTGAAAGTAAAGCGATGCCTTCGTCTGAATATATTGGCGGAAAAACCACCGTTTACTGCAGTTAATTAGAATAAATTACAAGTTATTATTATTTATTGATACTTGCGATTCCCCATTGTTATTCTGGATTGAATTGATCAAAACCTGCGTCCTGAGTCCTACCGCTAGCCACCATCAAGAAAATCCTAACTGTATGACTTCGTCATATTAAAGGGATGTAGTGAATTTGCGAAATTCATCCTCCAAATTCCTGAAAATTCGGTAACTAAGTCTCATGGTCTTGCAGGTGTGGAGGTATAATGTTAATTTTCAGGACAGTAGGCTAATTACTAGCCTGTACCTCAGCTGACAATGATCTGTTTACTATTCATCTGAATGGCGTAATGAAGACTAAAAAGAGTAGTGAAATTTGCCGTTTTCTCTTCGTAATCTCTACCTGCGCACCCACTGACTGCAGTTCAGAAGAAGTGAAGGATGGGTTTTACTGAAGGTTATCCAGCCTCTTACTAAGAGCCAAATGCCCAGATGTGGTCATGGCAACATGTGAGTAGGAGGGCTCAGCTAGACAGATTGGTAATTTCGGAATCAGTCGGAGAAACGGATAATGGCAATCACCTGCTACAGCTTTGCTTAAACAACCGCCTATATCCAGCCAGTACAAATTTGAAAGATAAAAGGAAACTGCCTAGAATATTCATTGACCTTAAACGGTGAACAAAGACAGATCATGCGACCATTGGAGACGGTCGAAGAGTGATTGCCACTCCTTCTGGAGTATATATTTCGATAGTGATCATACGTCGATACAGACGCATCTATGGCTGTACCTAAATGGGCGTAGAAAGACCATGGCTGCAAGACAGTTCCGACTTCAACTGGATAATGAAAATACTGTGGTGACTTTCAAGGAGGAACTGACAGGGCAGTTATAGGAAAATAACAACGTCACTTTTCTTGAAGAAACCTGGTACCCTCTCTAGTCTATCAATAAAACATCGACAAACTCAGTAACCGACCCTCATAGGAAGGTTGAAAAGGATCAGTGGATCTCGGTGGCTTCTGAACGTGTTCCTAGATGAACCGAGTACAAGAAGGGGCGGAACAACTCAAATTTTGGCTGACATAGTTTATGCAATGACATTATCAATCTGTAGTGGAATAATCGTATGTTCATTGTTAAGGTTGGATGCAGAGTACCAGACAAAAAGTTAGATCGATCGATGAGTTCCTGAACCTTGGACATGTGTTGCGCATTTAAGATTAACTTGGGAGAAGGCTAAGTGTAATCAATCCAAGGCATGGCACCAACCTATAAAATGTCTGTTGGTCTAAGCTATGCAGCGAGGTGTGGGCTATTTCGCTGGGTTCCCGAGACTATTGGAGCCAATCGCTCGCGACCATTTGTGAATATGGCTTGAAATTGTTCACAATGTAGTAGATACACTTTTTGTCATCTTCGAAGTCTTGAATGTTTTCACTAACTTTTGTGGCATTCTTTTTCAGTCCACCTTTTGCTTGCATGCTGTTTTGAAATGTGGGGATTTGAGATGACGTACTTTCGTGCCAGCTTTTGCGTTGACCTATCGATTTTCTGATCTGAAAATTAAGATCGAGGTGGTTAAGTGCATTGATCACTTAGCTATTTTGAAAAATATAAGAATCGAAATGGATTCAGTAAGCACATGCACATTCGTGGATTAAACAATGAGCTACGCTTATTATGCAAAGGTTTATGATACTACGTCGCTGCGCCAACGTTGGTAGGTGGAGCAGGGTTCGAACCCTTGGCCCATCATCTAAAAGTTATGTACCTAGACTAATGAGCCACATCTCAATTCACTTTGGAAGTTAGGTGAGTCCTAATCAAATAGTGACTAATGCAATTGAAGCGTGGATGCAAAAGGTTCGATTGGTTTTTGCCAACGCACATCATGTATGCAGCTGGTGTGACATTTCATTTGTTTACTAAGAGTTAAGTGTACTGCGCAGCAGTTCGCTGTGTCTTACAATATGACTGTGAAGCACAGCCATTAAAAGGGAAGTACAGATGAAGGCTTCAGTCGTTCTATCACTCTGTTCTTAGTAGTTTTGGACACCTTTCATGGAATTACCGCCTCAGCAATGTAAATTATGAACCGAGTCTTAAGTAAAAGAGGTAAGCCAAATGTACACATTGGTACCAAATCCTATGTTGATATTGACTATCTGCTTGCTTCGGCTGCTTGCAATAAGTAGTGTAGCTTAGTATTATTTCTTAGCTATCTGTCAAGTAACGTAGTAGAAAAGAACTTGCCTCTCCTAGTTTGAAATCCTTTTAAATTACCGATAAATAATTTATAATCTTCGATGTGGGTTGCCCATATCCATCAAGCCATGTCATTCACTGTTTCATTAATCCTTCAGGTTTGTAGATATGCGAATGAGGGAAAAATTCACCAACTCCTTTTGTTCGAAATACTTTTTTAAAAATATTCAGTCAAACCATAAGGTAACCTACTATTATCCAATGGTTTTCCTCACCATAAATTATTCTGTACAAATACTTGTGTCTGTTATTCTTACAAAACCCTAACTAAAGACTCCTAGTCAGAACAATATACCAATCAAAAATGTTCACCGAGATACAATGTGGATAACCTCTCTAAACGGCAAATCGAATTTTCGTCTGAACAGTTCTTAACAGTGATACCTCACTCACACTGCTCATACTCTAAAATTTTCTCTAATCATGATCCCTTGTTTCAAGAATTCCGACTAGTAACGAGATGACGTGTGAAGGCTAAAAATTTAAGTGTCCCACTTGTCTTGAGATAGGACTTATTGAAATGAAAAGTTCATTTTTCCACTGTGAAAAGTCTGACAGAGGGATCACTTCTATTCTTGTGTTGTTGTCATCGAGTTAAATATGTGATTAGCTACAATTCTATAAAGGCTTACTGATCATACCATGGCCCACTGGCATGTACTTTTTATTCTGTGTCTTGCACTGATCATATGTGTCTGTACTAGTCAGTAAGTAACTGAGTTCATTGTATAAAATCTTTGGTAATTGTTCCATGCTAAATCATACTGTTGTTTCTGTTAGTGTCCGTAAGTACGGTGTGTGTTTCTCAAAGTACTTTTGCAATATTAGCAGCAGCCTGTACCTGCGCTCACCCATGGTGTTGAGCCGTTGATAGTAGTCGAAAAGTTTGTGTCTGGGTAGTTGTATGGGTGTTGATGGAGGCGAGGACAATGAAATTTCCAACTGAAAATCGAACGTCAGAGTGGCACACCCCAATCTGGGTCAACTTTGGCGCCATCACACTGTTAGTCTGACCGTAAAAGATGGGGTTTGCAACACTTCGGTACGAGCAGTTCTGTTCTACACCTGCAAAACGTGATCTCTGAGATAAGGATGTGCGATGACTCTGCGTATTCAAACATCATTGTCTCCGTAGGACTGCTTGTGTATGGGGGAGCACCATGAAAGTAATTCTGAGGTATGACAGCGTGTGTTTGGGCATGATAGAGATCATCACTCAATTAGTGAAGTCATCTAGAAACACCGACTTCGGTGGCTTTGACATGTGTTAGACATGTCATTTCAACGACTTCCACACCGTTCATTGTTTGCTAACTCTGGAACTGGATGGAAGAAGCAGAGGAGTGTACGGCTTGGCGCTGCGTGATGAAGGATAGTTGTATCGGGCTAGCACCTGTTGTTTCATTACGACTCCGTGCGTGGGGTTCGAGAGATCACGCAACTCAGTGGGTTGAGAAGTTATCAAATAGGGCTCACAATCGAAACTAGTGGCGGTCATGCTGTAGCTTTCTTCTATCTTCTACCGCTGAAAAGTAATGGGTGTTTTGTTTTGAATTTATCTTACTGAACTCCTCTTCTAATCATTCTGTTTTCATTGTGTTTTTCTTTTATCCACTTTCCTTTGCTTTATGTCTTCATAATGTTAAATTATTTTGTGACACATTTCTTGGTGTCACTGCTGCAACATGTTTGTGTTCTAGTAATACTAATACCAACACTACTACTGCTAATAATAATAATGACAGTAATAATAATAATGATAGACTAAGTTCATTGTGTGAAATCTTTGATAAGTCTTCCATACCGAATCTGATCTTGTTTCAATTTTGATATAGTTTAAGCCATCGCATTTTATAATCACACTTATAAGTAGAGTTTTTATATGAGAGAAGTCTCATCTTAGCATGTGACTCGAAAATATGTTGGTGAACTATTTAGTAACACAGATGAGGCTCAGCAGATTCCACTTTATATTTGGTATTGTGTCGCTACTCACCAATAGTACTTACGTAATCGATGATTATTCCTTGTCTATCTATGTGGATTAGTGGTGAGTCATCATTTTAACTGGGTATGTTCACCAATAATTTTAAGTGGTCAGTATTTCAACTACTATGTGATATGCAACAGTTGTACCAATATGCAAATATATGGCCGGCATGCTTTATTTGTTGCAGGTAAAACGCGGGTTACTAATCAGTCTAGGTTTACATGGATCAGTACCTATAAAAAAGGTATACTTTCAGCCTCGAGAGAATTGATACTCCCGCAAAAACTCTAACACAACTAACCCAGGATTGCAATCGGATATTTTATGACTGGATTGTCCAGGCTATCACAAGAGTGCTGTAGGTTTGTTTGTTCTCCGGGAATCGCTGCTAACTGCCCCAAACCCCTAACACCAGCTACAGAGCACTGCACTGTTGGATATCAAGTCACTACTAAGTAACTACATTACGAACTTGATTGGTAAGGTTCTACCAGCCTATGTGACATTCCTTACTAATGTCTCCATGTTGTAAAGTTAATTACCACAGTCTAAGTGTGACCGTTCTAGTGCACTTATTGATCAACAAACACCAAGTAGTTTTTGTGAACTCACAAGTAAATAAACCATATTCTTTTATTGCTGTTGCCACTATTGTGCATAGAAAGTTGCGTAACGTACATTTTGAATTTGCACTTTAAATGCAGGCAACTGAAATCATACATAAACCAACGATTGCTGGGGAAACCTGCTGCAATGGCTCTGATTGAATCAGAACGCCTTTGTGGTGATTCTATGAGCAATAATTATCCTCAGAACCCAATCAACAACTCACTGAATATGAACGCCACAAGTACACCATCTAAGAAAAAAAAGAATTCAAATGTATCAAAAAGTCGTAATCATTCTTCATTATCTGAAGATGGCAAAGCTAATTGTGATAATTCAAGGTAGTGAGTTATTTATTCAAACTATTGTATCATGAGATAATTAATATGCTTCAGATTAAGAAATGAATAATTTAAACAGCGTTATGAGAAGACGAGGATTATCTGAAATATGTGATGTATTAGCGCTATACATTTCCAACATATGTACTTGTTAAACTATATGGAAATTTACGGAAAGGATCAATTAAGTCTCTAGGAAATATGAAAATAGGAAGAGCAAAGAAAAAATGAAACCTAGATCACTTTCGGTATGAAAATTGAAATCAGTACACCACCAAAATAGGTTCGACGTGAGTACAAATGGTTTTTAATTTTCATACCAAGAGTTTCATATGCGACTGACTTTCCTCTACGAAATGAAAATGATTTTTAAATTTAAATACTGGTATAGTGTCATTTGTGAACGCTTATTTGAGAATACTAGTTTTCCTGTGTTTGCAAATGACTGAGAATATACCCCAGTATACTTAGCTAGATTTGGTTTATATAGCTTATTTCACTGTTTCAGGTTAGCACGGTTGAATCAGACACATTAATCAAATAAAATTAAAACTGGAAGCCACACCTAATTCAGTCATCTTTTTTATTATTTCGAAATATTTTATGAACTTGTTTTGTAGTGCACACATCGTCTTATGTTCATCCAAGCTAAAAGTTTAACACTTTGTTCTACTGAATTGTTTTGTCGTAGAGATCAAATGAACTCACATATTTCCATCACCAGTGAACGTGAAGAATGTAGGAATCTCAGTGTAAGTATATGTGTGTAATCTTGTTTCTGTTTTCCCTTTTCAACTTCGTTTTTGCCTAATTTTTAAACTATTCTTGTCGAATATTCAAAATGTCCACAGCATGTCATAATTTTGCGTAAAATAATGTAAAAGTGCACAGATAGTGGTTTGAATTGTGTATTATACTCAAATGAACTCACAACTTCATCAACTGGTCTGACTTTCTTGATTGTGTCTATCAACATCTACTATGAAAAGTACTCATGTTGCATTTCACTAAATGCCTCAAAAGTATCCGTGATACAATGCTCATGGTCATTCTGTCATCAAAAGTCAGGAATCATAGGCGTTCAGTAATAATATACAGATCAACAACGTGCAACAAACTCAATTATCACTAGCCGTTTGGATGTCACACCAGTTTATGGCTATCAATTCGCCTTACATATTCACTATCTATTATTAGACTAGAGAAGTGTGCATTCAGAAGGTACAGATTTTGACTGTTTTCATCTAACTTGGCATAGCTCAGGTTGACTTTAGGATGTCCGGGTGGGAGGACGGATCTGTGGAAACAGTTACACTCTCAACATTGTGTATACGTCAGGGTTGAACAAAATGATGAAAATGAACATCTCTGACATAGATCACCTAAGCTCCTACACTTGGAGTATAGAGTAGACACTTTCCAAAGGTCACATCTATGGAAACAGTTATTTCATTCACATAAAATAATGTGGCAAATCTACAGCTCTCGTAATCTGGAATCTGATGTTTTTGCAAATGCGGCTCATATATTTCTGTTTGAACCTGTGATATATTTGGTGTGGGCTTATCAGCTAGTTGTCGAGTAATTCTGAGTCCTGTGTTTGTTCTAAACATTTTAATAAGTTCACCTATAGACTGGAACGACCAGTTACTGAAAATGGTTACATGAAATTGAAGTAGTTCCTACACGCTAACCTATGTTCTAACTGGTTTAATTTGTTTTGCATCGCCTTCCATAAGAACAGCTACCGGTGAACAATAAAAACCTACTACTTTCGGTCAATTCGGCTTGAACAGAGACTTCTCACCTCTGGTCACATCATTAAAATTGACGTTATTGTTCCACTCAGAGTGTTGCTCAATAATAGACAATAATACGGGCATTAATGACTAATTTAATTAGCTTACTTTCTTGGTAGTATCAGCAGGCCTTTTTGACATTTTGTTAAACTTGTGTAACGTAGGGATCGTTTTTCGATGTACTAGCCTTCCTACTGTTATCTTCAACCTTCGGAAAGCACTTTATATTTTGTCAATGAACAGCCGGTTCGTGTAAAAAATAGTGGATTCGAACAGAGGCTGTTCAGAGATACTAAATGTTAAGGCTCAGAGTGATATCAGTGGCGCCGTTGCATCCACACATTATCTTAGTCGTTATACGGAATTTCACTATCGTTTTATCCTTTCCCTTTTACGGCTTTTTACTACTTTGAATTACTTTGTTCTTTATTTCTATATCTTTCATCGTGGTGTTGATTGACTGATAGAGTCACTCGTGATCTGAGTAACTTAGTTACGCCACACAGTTTTAAAATTTTGTTTTTGCTTGTTGTCATGAGGACCAGTGTGACGCGTTACGATGCTCCAATTATGTATCAATATTAGTATCCATCACAACCTCGCCTGGTTAACTAGTTTACTAGTTACTAGCCGGTCCTAAGCCCTGGTAAAGAGGGAAGGTTGGGTATAGGGCTAGCAACCCTACACCGTAAAACAAATCTAACCGCTAAAGAAACTTCAAAGCACAAACAAAATATAAAAAATGAAAACAAACTTATTCCCCGCTGGAATCGGAGAGGCGAAATGACGCCAGTTGGTGAAAGCCTTCGGGAAGCCAATTGGCCGATGTGTCTTCGCTTCTCTCCATGAAAGCGAAAGTGAACGTGGGGACATGGAATGTCCGCACGATGTTTGAACCCAGTAAGGCAGCCCAGATTGCAAAGGAGATGAGAAGGTATAACATCGAAGTGCTTGGGATTTGCGAAAGCAGATGGAATGGGAGTGGACTCTCCAAACTATCAACTGGAGAATCAATAATCTACTCCGGTCACCCAGACGCCAACCACGAGCACACTGAGGGAGTGGCTATCATGATGTCCTCAAGAGCATCGAAGGCTCTCATGCAGTGGGAACCAATCTCCTCCAGGATCATGACAGCAAGATTCAACTCAAAAAGAAGAAAGGTCACAATCATACAATGTTATGCACCTACAAATAATGCAGATGAAGAGAAAAAGGAGGAATTCTACAGACAACTTCAATCAACACTGGACAAGACGTCAGTTGGCGATATCAAAATTCTAATGGGCGACATGAATGCCAAACTGGGAGGGAACAACACGGGAAGAGAACTAACCATGGGTAGAAAAGTGCTCGGTGAAATGAATGAGAATGGAGAATTGTTTGCAGAATTCTGTGCATTCAACGATTTGGTGATTTGAGGCAGTGTGTACAAACACAAGGATATTCACAAGGTGACAGGATTTCACCAGATGGAAACATTAAAAATCAGATTGACTTCATCTCAATCTCAAGAAAGTGGAGACGCAGTCTACTGAACACAAGGTCAAGAAGAGGAGCAGATGTAGGTTCAGACCACTATCTAGTGCAAGCAACCTTCCAAATCAAGTTAAAAGCCTTCAAGGAAGCTGGTGATAGACCGCAGTTCCAGTACAACACTCGGAAACTGAAGGATGAAACTACAAAGGAGATCTTCAAGGCAGCCATCAAGACAAAATGGGAGACATTGAGGAACATCCGTGAAGAAACCTGTGTGGAAGAACACTGGAAGTCTTTGAAAGCTATGTGGAAAGAAACCTGCACAACAGTATTAGGAAGGAAGAAGAAAGAAGATAAGGAATGGATCTCGATGGATACGTGGAAGCTGATAGAGGAGAGGAGGATGGTGAAGCAGAAGATAAACCAGTGCAAGGATGCTCAACGACAAGAGGAACTGAGCACAATGTATAAAGCACTGAACAAAGAAGTAAAGAAGAGTGCACGCAAAGACAAAAGACACTTCTACGAAACACTGGCAAGTGAAGCAGAACAGGCTGCAGGTAAGAGAGACCTGACGACATTGTATCAAATAACCAGGTTGCTATCAGGGAAGAGACCAACACAGATGAAACCAATAAAAGATGAAGAAGGAAATTTAATTACAAAAGAAGAGAAACAGAGGAAACGATGGGCCGACCACTTCAAGAAGCTCTTGAATCGACCACCACCTGCACTTCGTCCAGAAATACCACCTGCAGCCGCTGAATTACAAGTGAACATAAATCCCCCAACGAAAATGGAAGTCCTGAATGCCATAAAGCTACTGAAATGTGGGAAAGCAGCAGGACCAGATGGGATACCGCTAGAAGCACTGAGAACAGATGCAGAGACAACAGCGGACATGCTCACACCACTATTGCAGAAGGTGTGGAAGGAAGAGAAGGTACCTGACGATTGGAAGAAGGGTTACCTTGTCAAATTGCCGAAGAAGAGAGACCTGAGTGCTTGCAAGAACTGGCGCGGAATCACTCTCCTGTCCACCCCAAGTAAAATATTAAGCCGCATCATCCTAGAGAGGCTTAAAGACGCACTGGATTCAAAACTACGACCGGAACAGGCAGGCTTCAGGAAGTACAAATCATGTGCAGACCAAATTGCAACGCTTCGTATCATCATAGAACAGAGCATAGAATGGCAATCAGCTCTCTGCCTCAACTTCATCGACTTTGAGAAGGCCTTTGACAGCGTCGACCGAGAAGTAATTTGGAAACTGCTTCAATACTACGGAGTACCGCAAACCTTTATCCGCCTCATTCAACAACTATATGAAGATGCCACATGCCGAGTAATCCACAGTGGGAAGCTCAGTGATGCCTTTGAAGTGAAGACAGGAGTGAAACAAGGTTGCCTACTATCCCCCATGATATTCCTGATTGTGGTGGACTGGATCATGCAGCAAACAGTAGGCAGCGAGAAGAGGGGGATACACTGGACGGCGGAAAAGAACCTAGAAGACTTGGATTTCGCCGATGACTTATGCCTTATGTCACACAAACTTGAAGATCTGCAGGCAAAAACTAACAAGTTGGTAGAAGAGGCAGCGAAGACGGGACTTCAGGTGAATATAGAGAAGACAGAAGTGATGAAGATACCGCACCACCACCATCAACAACAACAACAAACTCCAATCACCATCACCATCAACGGGAGAAACTTAAAGGAAGTAACCTCCTTCACTTATCTAGGAAGCATTGTTTCAACTACAGGACGAGGACGTCAAAGTCAGAATCGGAAAAGCAAGACAGGCGTTCATTAGCCTGAAACCAGTGTGGAGATCTTCTGCAGTCAGCATGCGGAACAAGATACGGATTTTCAACGCCAACGTCAAGTCAGTGCTCTTGTATGGCTCAGAGACTTGGCGCGTCACGAAAGGCATTTCCAATAAACTACAGACATTCATCAACAACTGCTTACGCTCGCTGCTGAAGATCAGATGGCCATGACCTCCCCAAGGATCGAACTCAGGACCTTCAGGCCTCGTGGTGAATGCGTTAACCATTCAGCCACTGGGTCAGAGTTCAGTGGTCCACAGTTTCCTACTACCAGTTGAAATTGAAGCAGATGCTGACTGAAGACCTAAGTGGATAGTTGCGCTATATCCCGAATTGACAGAATTAGGAAAAAGTGAGCCATTAAACTCCGTCCCAGCTGCCGAATGCTTAGCACGTTCGCTGCGAGACCTGATGGTCCTGAGTTCTATCCCCGACTGCGTCGTGGCTGTGTACTGCTGAGTAGTTCTACATTAGGAAGAAACAGCTGTCAAGTGCTTCCAGTTTACCAGTGGTTCTCCAACTGATGCCAGTTCGTGATTGATACTAGCTTCAAAATAAAATTTTTTTTAAGATTCTCATATATATGGCTTTTCTATGCGCTAATTCTTATCTTTTGACCATTGTTTTAAAGGCGAAATTCTCCTTCCTCTCAGTAATGGATTTAAAACTACATTATAATCAAACCACACAGAGTAACGGTAATATGGATAATGACAATGTTCTGCAATTAATCCACATTGGCATTCATTTCAGCTTGATAGTAATAAATTGTTAGATTGTTTATGTGGTAACAAGATTCATCTGAGTTGAAAATGAGAATTCGACGCGCAATTTACCAGAAAGAGCGAAAAAAGAAAAATAACTTTCTTACCATATCATATTTTTTTTAAACCAGTGAACAATGTAATATACAGTTACTACTGATTATTGTTATCGCTGTACTGCCTACATGCAATTTTAAACTTGGTTTGAAATGCATATATTTATTTTCCCTATTATCTGTTGAATTATCTATGACTCGGGGTGGAATCTGGGGTGTACCTTACGTTATGTTCGGCACTCAGCCAGTCGAATGTACTTGCGTTTCACTGACTGTCGGTGTTCTCATTAAAACAGCAAGCACTCATCGATTTTAAACATTGAAGCGTATTTTGTCGAGCTATAATTAGTCCTATCATATGTATCTGCTTCTGCATTGACCAAGGCCTATTTGTAACTACTCTCTTATTAGACTTCAAGCAAGTATCCGATAAGGTGCCTCACAAACGCCTGGTCACTAAGTTGCAATCATATGGTTCCCAAGACCCGTTACTGTCCTGGCTTAGAACATCTTTAGAGGGTCGCTTCCAAGTAGTAAACTTCAGCAATTGCTACTCCTCCCCTAGACCTATACAAAGTGATGTCATCCGGGGTAGCGTGCTAGGACCGTTACTTTTCCTAATCTATGTAAACGATATCTGCAGCGTTATCCGAAATGGCATACCTTACCTTTTCGCAGACGACTTGAAGATAGTCTACAGCCTTTCTCCTGCAGCACTAATATAGGGTGTCTCAGATACAAGATCTGAAGAGAATATTCACATAGAGCGTGACCTGGCAGCTCCCTTTAAACCAAAATAAAAGTGGCATCCTCCATTTCAATAGATCCCACCCAGAAGTAACACTACACTTGGGTGACATCTCACTGCAGATATACAACACTATGTAAGACCTCGGAATCACTTACTCCAGGAGTTTGACTTTTACGGAGTATGCAGATTCAATAGTTTCCAAAGGCAGAAGACTCATAGGTCTTCTGTACAGAAACATACTCATACCTGAGGCAAAACTTATACTATACGAAGTTATGGTTCACCCTATATTAGAGTGTTGCGAAGTTATTTATGGTAACATGAAAGTATCTGACAGAATTCGAGTGGAGAACATCCGACGAAACTTTACTCGGCGCCTACTAATGCATAATGAGGGACTTCCTTACGAAGTAAGATGCAGAAAGCTAGAATCACTTTGGCTAAGACGCCCGAAGCTCAACCTAACCATTCTTTTTCGTCTTTAATTTGGAAAATTTAAAACGAACTGTGCTATTACTTTCAAATCAACGCCAGCATATAGTCTGCATAGTAGCGAACACCGTTCCAATGAATAAGCATCGCTAATAACTTCGATGCAGGTTTTTCATAACGCAATACGGTATGCTATGGAACAAACTTCACGCTCCTATACGGGCATGTCGATCTCTCGGCCAGTCTCAACGATTACTTAGTGAATTCCTTCCATCTAACCATTCTCACCGATTCGTTGACGGCCAAATCACAAGCGGTAATACCATGTACAATAATGCTACTGGTACCTAGGCTCAAGGGAGACTAACAGCAATGACAAAAGTATACAATAGCGAAAACTAAACGCATAGGTTAAGATAAAATCTAATTTAAAAAAAATTCTGACCTAGAGTGGACAGAAAGCGGAGCGTGATAGGATTTGAAACAGTGAACTCTGTAACTACTCTGATCTAACCTCCATTTCTTCGTAACCTAACTGATCTCTCGACTTAACACCTATTTCTTAAAATTCTTACCTGAAAATAGGAAGTGCATTTTTCCACGCTTTTGACATTTCTGCTTTTGTTGTGTAATCCACACCAAGAGCCTTCTTATAAACCTTGACTTGAAGTGCTTGAGTCAGTGTTTGAAGTTTAATCATTTTTTGAGGCTTAAGGTTGGTCTTTTTGTTGTCACAACTTAAGTCGCTTTGTCGAAATTTTGACCGAGTACTTCAGTTAGTACACGGCAATAGTAAGTAACATGGTCAGCGATAATCATGTTTGCGGTCATCCCAGCTGTAAATTTTCAGTGGATGAAGGTATGCAATGTGATGCATATGGATGTTGGTTCCACAAAGCTTGTACCGGATTGACACCAACCGTGTACAAGCGTTGCAGCAAACCAGCTTCTCCCTGGTTATGTGATTTCTGCTGCAAGCCGTTACCAACCCTCATCCAGGTAGCTGTTGAAAATTTACTTGTGAAAAAACAGCTATGTGGAAATGATAGCTGTCATTCTAGTGCGGCATCAGATGATGACGTTGCAAGTGTAATCGTTAATATATCTGACACAGGACCTCTCAGTGGACTAATGGATGCTGGTGCTCCAGTTGGTGAAATTACACCAGTTCCGAAGCGTACTCTACGCAAGAGAAATCCAAGGGCAAATGGTACACCAAACATAATCCCTGAGGATTCACCGAAAGACTGCATCTCTGGTAACAGCGTTGACTCTGTAAAAGTGGCCAACGAATCTACATGGATTTCTCCGAGAAAGCATCCAAAGAGACTGCCGAAGGTTATCACGGAAGATAATAAGCTTATGAAACCTATTGAGGTTCCGAAGGCCGTCAACACACGACTCAGGGACTCCACTCCAACCACCAGTTTGTCTTCTGGAATGCTGAGGAGTCATCAGATAAAGATGCTTCTATACGTCACGGTCATGACCTGAAACTAGTCGAGCCGGCCATCAGACGTATTCTGCCTGAAAAGTCTAAAGGAGTATACATCTCCAAAGTAGTTAGGTTAGGTAAGAAAACGGACGAAAAACTTAATGAAAGGGGAATGTTGAAGGTTGTTTTAGGCAACAAGGATGAAGTGGATGTACTATTGAGTAACGCATCCAAACTACGAAATTTAGATACCTGCATCCGACCTGGCCGGCCCCTCGATGACCGCATGAAAGGAAGGGAAGCTGTTGACGAACTTAAGGCTCGACAAGCTAATGGAGAAAATGATCTTATAATAGTGGTTTTTCGGGTTGTGAGGTCTTGGAAGCGAATGCTCCCAGCAGCATTAGAAGCAAAATGACAGACCTCGAGACCCTAATCTGCGAACTAGGTCCTGACATAGTAGCCCTTACTGAAACCTAGTTAGTAAAGGATTTAGATTTTACGCCACACCTCAGGGTATTACTGTGTAAACACGGATAGGGTTATGGGTCGCAAAGGTGGCAGGATACTACAATATGTTCGGGATGACGTCCACGTACGATTAGTCACTTCTGAAACACATGAATGCGGGACCTGTGAAGTGGCCAGTTGCGAGCTGAAGTCAAAGCAAAGTTTTTGTACTATCGGGGTCACTTACCGTAGTCCATCCTGCCTTGCAAATGACTTCGCGCTAACCCATATACGTAACTGGAGTAGAAGTAACAGATGCCCAATAGTTGGGGATCTGAATGCTCCACACATAAACCGGACGGAGCTAACAGTTTCAGTATACGGCAGTCCCTTCGAAAATGACTTACCCTTGGCGGTCTTAGAATGTGCTTTAGTTCAAAACGTAACATGTGCAACACGTTACGATTTTGAACAAAAACCATCGTTACTACATTTAGTAGGTAACGACGCCATTCATTCCATGTTCGACTCCACGACGACCCTCACGTCGACCTCCGTGGTTTAATAAAGACATTAAGAGACTATTAAGGTGGAGGAAACGTTTATGGGACTTGTTTCTAGAAACTAGACTCGAAACATTTAAGACTGAGTACTGTAAAGTCCGTAATCTCTGCAAAACTTTTATCACGCGGTCTCGAACGTCCTACAAGAAGCAGCTTGTGAGGGATTGCCGAAATTGTCCTAAAAGACTGTTCGCATTCATCAGAAGGAGGACTGAAAGAAAAGGTGGAATTCCCTCTCTGGCGACGGATGAGAAGTCTGATAGTCTGGTGGAATCTAATCTGTCCTAAGTTGAATGTCTGCCTGATCACTTTAGTGAAGTCTACTCTGTAGATTATGACGATGGAGTGCTAAGTAGTGGTGTCAGCACTGTTCCAATAATACATACTGGGTTCACAACAAAGGAGTCTTACAGTTGCTCATTAACCTTAAACCAGGAAAATCCCCGGGTCCCGATGAGTTACATCCCAGACTTCTATCTTCGCTAGCAAACACGATTGCTGAACCAGTCACGGATCTTTCCAATATGTCCCTAACTCAGACTCGCCTCCCTAAAGACTGGAAAGATGCCATAATCAGCCCGGTTTTTAAGACCGGTAGTCGCCATTTGGTGTCTAACTATCGCCCTGTGAGTCTAACTAGCATAGTTGTTAAGATTTTAGAAAAAATAATTCGTCACAGGGTACCTAAACATGTGGAGTCAACCAATCTTTTGGCACCACAGTTTTTGTACTGGGCACTGCTCTTTAACTAACCTCCTTATCGCAAGAGAGGAGTGGGTTGCAGCCCGTGATTGCAAGCTGCCAATAGGTGCCGTGTTTATAGACTTCAGTAAGGCATTCGACAGTGTGGCTTGTGAAATTACTGGGAAAACTCTCCTCCTTCAGGTTTGGTGCTTCATTGCAAGCTTGGATTAGGGACTTTTTATACGATAGAAGGCAAAAAGTAAGGGTAAATGGGACACTATCCGTGTGGAAACCTGTGGTGAGTGGAGTTCCTCAGGGAACAATCCTAGGTCCGCTACCCTTCTTGTCATATATCAACGAATTGCCAAAAATGCTCAACTATTGGATACTGGTATCCGCCGATGGTGTAAAGATTCGCAGAGCCATACGCAGTGATGCAGATAGGTTTGCATTTCAGGTGGATTTAGATGAACTAGGTTGGTCCAAACGTTGGTGCCTCGAAATCAACTCTAACAAAAGTGCGATAATGCACATTGTTCATAGCTATTGTTTCCAGTATTCCGTTTATGCTACACCCCTATTCCCAGTCTTTGAACCAAAAGACTTGGGTGTCATCATTAGTCATGATTTGAAAACCTCGGCAAGCTGTAATGCAGCTGCAGCAAAGGGCTTCCGCGTATTATTGTCCTTCCGCAGAGCTTAAAACGTTTTGATCAGGACATGTTCAGAATACTCTACTCTACTTACGCTAGACCTCACTTGGAATACTGCATTCAGGCGTCCAGCCCATACCTAGAACAGATGCTGACGCACTTGAGCGTGTTCAAAGGGGTGATCTCATACTGGCATTTCGTATACTTAGT